TACACGTACTGTGTAGGTGAAAACCTTTCAGATCACATCTAACAAGTTAGTTTACATCATCTCACCAAAAAAACAAACCAAATAAAAAAAGCCCATAGGATTGGCTCTGTTCCTTTTGTTTCATCATCCGTTTCTTGTGTGACCCTGGCTAATAACACTCCCTTATTCTTCAGTTTTCCCCCTACCTCAGGGATGCATTTTTACCGCTTCAGGGCATCTTCAGCTGACACACAGTTTATTCTGCATGTCAAGGAGTGCCTCCACCCCCCAAAATTTTCCTTATAATTCATTTAAGGCTAAGTAACATCTTCAGAAAGCTAATCATTTAGGCAAGGCCTCAAGCTCTATGAACTATAGCTAATTTACACTTTCAAAAAAATGCCACACTTTTTAAAAACAACAAACCATTTTTTAATCTCATCATTTTAGGATCTCTAAAAGTACATCTGTTACTATGTAAAAAAAAAAAAAAAAGTCTACTTCAGGTACTACATGAGAAGACAAACACCTTCCCCCTACAATCCCACTCCACGTTGCCAATATCGACTTGTGTGAAGAAGCACAGAAACACGGAGTGATGAAAGGAAACAACGCACCCCTTTCTAGAAAAAAGAACAGGACAATACTGTGTAAGTGTACATCATACATTTATTACTGAACAACTCTCTCAACTCCAAAATCGGGCACACGGATTAAAAATAAAAATCCATTGCACTACTTAGTAAAGCATTACTAGTAACTCTCATAAAAAATGTACAAATTTTGTTAAAAATTTATCAAGCCTTCAAATGATTTGGTTACAGATATTTATAATACATTTAAAACTACATGTTAAATGATACAATAGAGTATGATTTAAAGAAAACACTTGACAAAATACGATTCCAACAAAATCCATAAGCTTTCATAATCATTAGCAAATCTGAAACATAAGTAGCAAAATGAGGTAACTGAATGTACCAAAGAAAAAAACACAGCTCTTATAAAGGCCTAAAGATAACTCAGTCAAAAATGCATTTTCCGTCAGTAAAACTAAAAAAGGTAAATCCCAACCCAAGTATTACGTAATGTGTCGACAGCTGTAAAATCACATTCAAGGGCCTGCACAAAATGGCATACAATGAAAGGCTTTAACTCTTTTGTAAAGAAGACTGCAGTATCAGACCTTGAAATTATCTGTAGGCCTTGATATCCACTACAAAATGCCAAATTAATTTGACAGTTTATGCGAGAAACACAGCAGCGCCAATATGGTAAAGCCAACAGGTTGCGAGTTGTTTTTGGAGAGGAGGGGGACAGGTGGCGACACGAAAGCAACGAGCAGAAAGTCCTGCTGGGTCCTGGAGCTACCCACGAACGTGCACCGCGCGGGGCAGCTGACGGCCGCGTACAAAGCCCCTGCCCGCCCCCTCGGCGGCGGCAAGAGAGGGCTGGGCTGCAGCCGGGCAGAGCCGACTGGGAGGGAATGCACGGCGCGCTGCTCACGCACGCTGACCGCAGCAAGCAAGTCGGCACGCGCCTGCCAGAGTTTCATGCAAACGGAAGAAACGCTCCTGAAGAGATCAGCCACAAGAGTGCAACGGCCGGATTCAGTATTTTACTAAATCAGACCCTCCGTCTCCTGAGTCTCCCACTGCCTCATGGAGTTTTATTGGGAAAAAGGGACATTATACACCAAGATTTCTACAGTTCCAGAAAGAGGACTACTTTCCCTTGGCTCTAGAAGAACGTGCCTTGTTCATTATGTATTTATACCTAGCCAAGACAAAGTACCTTCTTCCCAAGTTTCAAATCGAATACTGAGAATAGTAGTGTTTGTTACAGTTAAATCTGTACAGGTAGAAATTTGTTTTGCAGCTGTATAAAAGACCCTAACTATCGTAAGACATATGTGGCATATGCTTTATTAAACAACACGATTTCATTTGTTAAAAAAATAAATTTTACTATATGTAATTCAACCTGTTTTGTGTTATTGTGAAATCCGTTCTTTAAGTCCCCTGGGAGAGAGAAAAATTCCAGTATTTTGAAGTTGATGTAATGGCGTATTATCATTTATTTAGTGTTCTTCAGTACTGACAGGTTTGGACAGATTGTTTTTGAGAACTACTTGCATAACTAAACAGAGGCAAGTGCATCTGAAATATGGGCAAAATTGTGCTTTTATTTTACTTGAACCACAAGCGGTGATGGGTCTGTAGAACCTTCAAAGCAGGGCAAGCAGCATGGAAAATGAAAATATAACTGATACTAAAGCATAGCAACATACAGAAGCATCAGAAATGATAAAGAATAACCTTAAAGCTGAGACTGGCAGCAAGTTACAGCAATATAGCAATATTGCTGCCTCTTGTACTATTGCAACGAAAGTAATGACACTGAATTTAGGAGAAAGCATTTTGACGCAAAAACGGTGCATCCATTGAATAACTACGGCATACGGAGACCTAAGGATTTTACTGAAATATCTTGACGGTGTTAACAGTCGGAAACCTTATAATCGAAGCTTACTTTTTCAACAAATCATTATTCAGAGGACAATCGAACGCAGGTTACCACCTCCCATTTCACAGTATTTTTTGTTCTGGAAGATGTTCCAATTTTCTTTTCTCCTGTAGTGGAATACTCTGGAAACCTGATTGCAAAAATCAAGAAAGTTTCTTTTTCATATGATACTCATCACGATTATAAGGAGGGCAAGCAGCAGCACCTCAGGACAACTGAAACCTGCAGTGAATGACTAAGCACCACCCCATTTTGTGGTACAGCAACAACAAGAACGACAAATCAGAAGTTCTACTTCTCTGAGAAAATGCTAAAAATTTTATTTTATTCATGAAGTTGCAGGAATAAAATTGTAACCTCTTACAAGTTATTTTAACAGTATACAAACTCCCTTGCAAATGACAAAGAATGTAAGTGATTAAAGTCAATGTTCATAAGCTACTGGATTATGTACTTAGCAAGTACAATGGCCAAAAGTGAAGAGCTGTTGCACAAGACCCTCAGTGTCCTTTCTGTTTCTTTTCAGGAAAGGAGCACGTAACTGCAGCATCTTCAAAACTCAAGTCTAATCCGAAATCGACTGAATGCAAGTAAAACCCAGCTAGAAAAATCGAAAAGGAGAACAGAAAAGCATTGGTATTCCAATTACCAACTCAAATTGATAATATTGCTAACTGATTTGTGCGATATTGCAACTTTACATTGATAAAATAACTCGTAAATCTGCCATTTTAAAATCTGGATTTTGTAACATATGCTAAAAAAATCCCCAAGAATACTCACATACGAGCAATCAATGCACTCTTTAGTGGTACACTTAAAAGCCTCCAACGAAGGGGAAGAAAAACAGCTGTTTGAATAGTAGGTAAAAAGGTCTTTATACCAGTAAGTACATTGCGGAGGAAATATTAAATGTCTGTAATTGCTGCACCCATCGCATTCTGTGTGCAACTGCAAACACAAGGAAAGAAACCAGTGTACAGTACTAGTACTGTTTAAATAACACACAAGATTATACATTGCAGCATAATTAATACTACACACATACGTTCTCAGTACATGCTGGTATATAGGTTCTCAAACACACACGCTCACCCAATCACAAGCACACTTCCTGCATCCTCTCACACATTCACACCATTCGTTCCCACTCACAGTATTTGAAGGCTCTATATAAGGTAGATTGCTATATTGTTTGGAGCTACCACTTTTTTTTTTTCCTTTTTCTTTTATACAAAAGCACATGCTAAAAGATCACGTCCACTGTAATCTCGCAGCAACACTCGGAATGATCACACAAAAACCAGGGAATGTTAGTGCACACACAAAATTAAGCTAAAGAAAAAAAATCTTTGGAGTTCCAATCACACTGTTAGTATAACAATCCAATAATTGTGAAGACTAATTATAAGCTTTATAATTGATTAAGTCACACAGTGCAAAGTAAGGTCCATTGACCCTTTTGTGTAAAGGGAAGGCTGGAAGCCACATGGGTAAGTTCGATGGATAGTTCAAATATACACGTGACCAGGAACACCCAAACCAGATTTGTGCTCTTAGACTGGTCATTCTGAATCACGATGCACTTCCGAAGCATCAGCTCTACAAATTGGGCAGGTACGATTTGCCTGTAAATCCAGAAACAAAAGAGGGTTTACAGTACTGACAACACATTGTTAAGGTAACACACATATGACCCTGAACATCTGTGACCAAAATGAGATTGTTACTCTCAACACTCAAGAGTACCTCAGAGCAACAGAGAAGAGAAGATAGCGTGCTTGGGCCATTTCTTCTCTTCATTTGTTACGTTAGAGTCATTTGACCGGTCTGTCAATTCAAACTTTTTTTTTTTTAATAGAAATTTGGGGCATTTTATGTTAAAATATTAAAGGAAATAGCAAACAGGGCTTCATCTAAGTGATGATGGTTTTATTAATGAAGACACACAGCGTTTGAGATATGAATTTAAGATGGCTGCAACTAAGCCAAGAAATTGTGCTGTATGCTGGCAGGGAAATCCACCAATATCAGAGTAGCAAGCTTATGCCAGAAATAAATGCCCCATTTGAAGGTGTTCTCATGTCACAAGCTCTATACAAGTGATCACCTCTCTTAATACTCTCCTTATCCAGTTATCCCCCCAGAAATACATCATGCAGACTTGGCCAAAGCTGAAAGCAGAGCAGGGAAAAAGCTTTCTAGTAAAAAAAAAAAAAAAAACAAAAAAAAAAAAACAAAAAAAGGAAGGCGACCTGTCTAAAAGGGTATTCAACTTCAAACACCAAGGAACACACACAAAATTAGGTCCTAGTTTAGCCCAGAATAAATCATTCACTGACAACACACCCTGCAGCTCTTTTGCTTTTTTAGCCCCCTGAAAAGGTAAGAAAGACCAGACTTCACATTCCTTAAGCTGCTGGGAAGATATCCCTATCTTCTCCTTCCCCTTTTTAAATATAAGGACGCTTTCATTATTGTATGTTTTACATTTTTACAAAGTAATGAGGAAAAGCTCAAGCCAAATACATCACATTTAAGATAAAATATTTCTTTTTCAAAAGGCAGAAAGAAGGTAACTCCTCCTTGTCCCAAATTCTGTATTTCGAAATTCAAAATTTCAGGATCAACCACTGTCAATTCACATTTTCTCAAAGGTGGCCAAACTTTTCAATCATGTTATGACTCAGAGCATCAAGACACATAGCTCAGCAGGTCATATTTCAGAAACCACTGCCATATATTCTAAATCTGAACTATAAATGCCAATGAAAGTAACATTTGTTATTACTGAAAGCTTTCTATACTAATGCAAGCTAAAATACTTCAAAGTATATTTTGAAGTATATTCATAATATATTCTAAAGGATAACTTTAGTTTTTACTGTCAGTTACTACTGTCATGATTGTCTTATCATTTTAATCATAGTTATTATTGCTTTATAGAGTCTGCAAAACGTGGATTGAAGAACCAACTCAAAAAATATTTCTTGCTCTTTCACTAGCGAGTTCACAATTACATGGATGACAATGCTATTACTTGGTCTCTATTTTGTACTTTGTTATTCTAGATATAATCCAGCTAACACGATTTTGAAAATAAAAAGGCAAATTCTTCCAGATTCAACATATTAACGAATCAAGAGGTATCCTTCATGATAGATACTGCAGTAGTTGCCATCTGTAACACGGAACAGAGCATTCGGTAGGAATATTACTGAAGTATAAATTCCTGATAGGAAACTGCAGAAACAAATTCACTATGCCAAGACAAAATGAATAGCCACGCAAACTTCAGCACTGTTCTTAAGCAATTTTCAAGATTCTATTAGAACCATATCTGTTTTAAATTTATTTGTCTTCTCACATCTTTTATGAAATTAATTCACCTGCTTGCCATTTAACAGGACTCTCTGGTGCACAGTGGAAGAAGGACGACATAATATTGCAATCCTGACCTTCTCCTAATTAGCTGTTCCTTCAGACTAACTTTCTCTAATATAAGGGGACACAGCTGCACAACGACCTGCTTTATTTATTTATTTATATTTATAGAAATTTCTACCTAAAATGAACTGCATCTAAAGTAAACAATCCGCAGCATCACTAAAAGCCTATGAAAACAACTGTGTTTCTTCGATATCAAACCCATCAGAACCAAGGTAAACCCTAAATTAGCTAGCGTTGTCTTTTCGGAAATATAATACGGCATTTTCTAGAAGAGTATTAAATGTAAGGTAAGTTTTTCTTGTCAGCTGATTTCTGCCTGTAGAGGTAGGTCATATTTTCAAGATATTCTTTGGAACGACGAGTAAATCCGACTTTAAAAGCGAACAGATTTCTCATGTATTCACATTCGATGGAAGAATCTAGGATATGAAGAAATAGCCAAATACTGTGAAATACGAGCAAAAGAGAGTTGACAAATACAAAAAAGGCAAAAGGATAACCTCCCTCTCATTAATTCTGTGCCATCCACTGTCTAACTCTTCTTTTACAAGTCACTTGGCTTTTACCTTGCTTAAGGTAAAATTGCTTAATTATGTGCTGCTTGCTTAATTATGTGGACCACATAATTCAGAGTAAAAGAACTTTTCTTCTGGCAAGCTAAGACTGCCTGAAAAAGCGGTACTATGTGTGGCATTATACCTGCAGGGCAGTCGAAACCTTTCATAGATAGATAACTCATAAAGTTTGTCTAGATGCCTCTTTTTTCACTCTAACACCAAAAGACAGTAGAATAGGGTTTGAGGTTTTTTACTATCAGATTGGATCACTAACTTCTTATTTAAAACTTTCGCTACACAAAATGGCACAAGTTTAAAAGCATCAGCTTGACTGCAGACCTCTAACACAACATGAAAACATTCCTAGATAGCAAATAGTTTCTTTCCAGAGACATACGACTAAATCAATTTAAAAAAGTGATACACTTATCTTCTCAATTAAAAAAAGAGTTGCAAGTACTAAAACCTACTATTCTTACACTGCCTTGCAGAAGTTGTCCTCATGATGTGGACTGGATGATGTGAATGACACAGTTGTCGATTTAAAGTGCAAGAATTATATATTACTGCTGTGGCCTATATAAAGTCATTTTTTGTAGCACAGAAAGGTAATTGGAGTTCAGCAAAGGCTTAACAGGGAAACTACCAGAGAAATGTCACATCTTCATGCAGGCAAGCCCTTAAAGGCAGGAAAGCCAGTTTCCAATGAAACCAATTCATGACTATACTGAGAATATGATTATACTGGCAACATATGAAGCAAGTTATCAAATGCATAAAAGAATGGACAAAAAATTACACACACACACATATACACAGAAAAAAAGGTCTTCCAGTTATCACCATTTTCAGGTTTGCATATATCAGAGCTGTTTGCTACTTTAACTGCGCAGGCATTAATTAAAATAGGCATAAACTAAAATAAAGAATAAATTACCTGTGTAACTTCAGTTCTGGCAAGCAAAATAATCTTTATTTTGATAAGGTAGCTTCACAGAAGTGCAACTATGCCTGCATGGGGTAAGTATATTGGTTCAGCAAGCCTACAGTAGGATGCATTATCCTCATCTAGCTACTTTGGATCCAACTCTGGGTTTTAGGCTAGCATAACTGCACTCCCTTTAGATGTGGATTGCACATATTTTTCACCTAAATACTCATTCCTCCGCATAGCTGACACTTTCATGCTGATACAGTTTTTCTATGATTAGTTATCCTCTAGGCAATACCACTGTCAAAGGTCTGTTAAAAAAAAGCACAGGGTTTCTAACCTGGAATAAGAACTTTAGTGCATAGTTGTTTAATCAGTACTACAGTACACCTAAGATCATTAAAATAAAGAATAGACCAAATCTTTTTTTTCCATTGTGCTGATCTTTAATTAACCAGTTGGTTACCAGTTGAAAGTAAGAATTGCCACACCAAGTCACCAAAAAGCCTCGTTTAACTGTCTGACTCTGAGACCAACAGCAGGTAAGAAAGAGCATAAGAACGGGACGAGTATGCATGATACTTCCCTGACACGTTCTTCTAACTTCCAGCGATCTACAGATCAGAGGCTTTATAAATTGGACGTGTATTCTTTGTATTACTACCTTGAAAAGAATGGGTTTTTAAAATCTATATAATCAATGTAACCGATATAGAACTTTAGCATCCACTGTATCACAGGCTGTGTGAAGTCCAGAGATCCTCATTCTTTTTTCATAAAATGGAGTCACTGTTTACCTTGTCCATGCTACTTTAAGCAATGGTAAGACTTTACAAGTCTAGCGTGAATACCCTTCTGCCGGGTACAACATGCTCTGAGTGAAGAAATGAGTAGTGGGGGATAGTGGAGAATACCACTTGAATATACACTAATTAATCTGACTTAACTGGCAATTACTGAATAAAATACTCCAGTACAGATGTACGGATAATACTTTTTTTTTTTTTTTTAAATCTCAAGCTAAAAACTCCTGGATGTTTTCATTTCCCTTGCTGATTCTCAGATGTGTACGTGGATTCAGAATAATGCAGGACAACAGTCCTACACTGAAAGTTTGAAAATTAAGAGCAAAGTTGCGGAAACATTTACACAAGCCATAGATTCTGTAGAAGCCTTAGACTACACTGGGTACTGCAGCCCAAAGACTGTTTCAGATTCCACTTTATACTAGCCCCATCCTTGTCATTCTTGATAACTTGGTAGCCAAAAATAATGCCATAAATACCAACTTGCTACTTTATTCTCTGCATTAATATTGTAGTATATGGCTAAGACAGGCATTTTCCTGCCTTTAGAAAGCCAAGCAATTGCAGGACTTCATCCATATTAAAAATGCGTATTCTCTACAGGAACACATTAGTAAGCAAAGCTACAAGAGAACAATGACAACTTCAGACATCAGAAGCCACTATAATTCTCTAGAAACTCTACCCTATATACATTTTTTCCACATAGAATCATTGCAATATCAAATATTCTGCACAACAGACTACAGGCAGACAAAGCTAAATCTGGATAGAATAAAATACTGAAAAAAGGTGAGACAGCTGGGAATCAGTACCTTGTTAGCAGTAAATCTGGATAATTCCGGTTGTAGAGATATCTGTTTGTCACCTTCTGTTTAACTGCATTTCCTTTCCTTCTCACCTTTATTGCTGCTACCCTCTGTGATCTTACCGGGCTGCTCTGCTTCTAGGTTCCTTTTTTTTCCCCTCCTCATAAATCGTTTTGAAAGAGTATGTCATAGCATATGCAAAACCATAATTACATAGTAAGTCTTATTTGCATATATTATACTGTATATACATGCATATCTATGCATGTGTGTGTGTATACATACATATACACAAACATACTTTACATGCATCGTACATATACAAAAGTATGCACACACATACACATATGCGTTTGATTTGCTCCAAAACCAAACAGCCACAGAGAAGTTGGGGGGAAGACAAGCTTTTTATTAACGTCCGATCTTGCTATGCAGGATGCGTAAAACAGTGTTAAACCCACCATCATCAGACAAACTCTAGTTCATACTTCCTACGTCGCTATAAACTTGAATTCATAGACATTATTTTGTGGAAACAGAAAACAACAAGATCTATCTGTGAAAATCGTTCTCTTCACAATCCCTTTCCTTATGCCAAAAATTATTTTAAAAAAGTTCCTTCATTAAGTGTTAGAAAAGACTGTGAGAAGGCAGTGCTTTGAGTTTGTTGGCCTTTCTAGGCTAAATATTACAAACAGGAAGTAACAGAGGAAATGCAGTAGAAAAATAACAATACTAAACAACCCCTCAAAACCAGTAAAAACCCCAACCCCCCACATCTACAAAACTTTTTTTTTTTTTTTTTTTTTTTTTTTTTCCCTTAACCCTTTTTAT